GAGGCTCTCAAGTCACAGCCAACTTAGGGTGACCTCATAGGGTTTTCAAGGCAAGATACATTTAGAGGTGATTTGCTGTTGCTTGCCTCTGTGTAGTGACCCTGGTATTCCTTGGAGGTATCCCATCCAAATACTAGCAAAGGCCAACCCTGCTTAGCTTCTGAGATCTAATGAGATCAGGCTAGCTAGTGGTGAGAAAAATACAAAAATATTATTACTTAACTGTGGAAGGTTCTATCACATTTTTAAAAGATCATGCACTGTGTTCCAATGTGCAGGAAATCAATATGACAGCTTTGGGCTATTTCTTTATCTTATCAATCTTTTATCTCTCATGGTCCTAGCATTAGTGTGAGCCTAAAATGTCCTGTCTTCAGCCTTTTTACAGAAGAGCAAGATACGACCCCAATAAAACAACCAAATGAGGTCCGTAATGACTTACCAGAGTTCCAGAGTCCAATAGACTATTTTAAAAAATGTGCATTAGCTCTACCATGAACAAGTGCCAAAGTATTACCATCAAGGAACATTCTGGAGTTGCCAGTTTCAACGGTCCGGAATCAACCTCTTGTAACAAAGGGTTGCCGGCTCTGGGTTAAAAAATCCCTGGACATTTGGGGATGGAGCCTGGAGGAGAGGTCTGGGGAGGGGAGGGACCACAACAGGGTATAGTGTCATACAGGGCTATTTTTGGACAGAAACGCACAGGAACGGAGTTCCGGCTGGCTCCCACATTGGCCACGTCCAGCAGGAACTCATTAGCATAATAGGCCACACCCAACAGCAGAAACTCATTAGGATTGGCTACATTAGGGGTGTGTGGCCTAACATGCAAAGAAGTTCCTGCTACAAAAAAAGCCAATAAACAAAGTAAATAGAATAAGAAGCCAAAGGTGGGTGTGGCTGGATGACCACACTTCTGGTAACATGGGGTGTGGCCTAATAGGCTAATGAGATGTGCTGTCAGCATATGGCCTAATATGCTGATGAGTTTCTGCTGTTGGGTGTGGCCTATTATGCTAATGAGTTCCTGCAGGGCTTTTTCTACAAAAAAAGCCCGGGTGTCATAGAACCAACCCTTGAAAGCAGCCATTTTCTCCAGGCGAATTGGTCTCTGATATCTAGAAATCAATTGTAATTCTGGTGGATTGCCAGGCCTCACCTGGAGGCTGGTAACCTTCCCCATGTGCCGGCTGTTGTCTTTGTGGTGGCCTTTCTTGGACTATCCATTGAGCAACAGTCAGGTTGTGGACTCTTTTAAGTGGCCCTTTGGCCTGGCTTAACACAGTGGGTGTGGAGGACAATTTCTGCATTCAGGAAGTATGTAAAGCAGTTTTATTTCCAAGGGAGGTTGGATGCTTTTGGCAATTTGGCTGTGTTCTTAATGCTGTGCGTTGTTGTGATTTGTTGGTGGACTATTTTGTTGTTTGTATGTCTTTGCAACCTTGTTAGCTGCTTTGAGCCCAAGGAGATAAGGTGGAATATAATAATTTTAAATAAAAGAATGGCTGCGATTCCGGGCAAAATCCAAGAGCTGGAAATGCTGCAGAGCGGGTCTCGCCCTCAGCTATCTTATCTTCGGCTCCTACCCTTTGAACTCTTGTTAAAGGGAACTGGCAGGCTGGGTCAGAATTCCAAAAGTGGGTGCAGCTTAGCAAGAGAGCTTGGAAGCAAAAGGTATTTCTCCCCCCCTTTTTGGCTTGCAACACTCTGGAAAATACTTAACACTTAATAAAATACTTAAACTGAGATCCGTTCCAATTAGTGTTGCCATCTCTGGCTTGGGGAATGCCTGGAAATTTGGGGATGCCAGTGCCTGTAGATTCTGGGGAGGGAGAGAAGCCTGCCAAAAGTGCCATTTTAAAAAAAAATTATTTTAAAAATGTGTATGCCACCTTTTTGCCTGAGCAGGGCCACCAGAGTAGCTAACCGTTAAAGCATTATAAAACCATATCATAAAAACTATTCCATCCAAAACCAAAATACATATTAAAAGCACATAAACCAGTAATTATATCATAGGGCAGGAAGGAAGGATCACTTAGAGAATGCCAGATGAAGCAAAAAAGCCCCTGGGAAGGGCCATAACTCAATAGGAGAGTATCTGCTCGGAATGCAGAAAGTCCCAGGTTCAATCCCTTCGCATCTTCCGTTTAATGAATCAGATAGGAGGTGATGTGAAAGATCCTGTAGACCCTGTAGAGCCGCTGCCAGTCTGAGTAGACAATATGGACCTTGATGGACCAATGGTCTGATTCAGTATAAGGCAGCTTCATGTGTTCATGCATCTTCACCTGCGGGCAGAAGACAGTGACAGAAGGGGACAGGCAAATATCCCTGGGTAGATAATTCCATAGTTTTGATGCCCTCTCATAGGTTGCACCAAGGGAAACTGATCTCTTTAGGCTGGAGATCATTTGTAATTTCAGGAGAACTCTAGGTTCTTTCTTCTTCTAAGTCTGGCAAGCAAGATTCGAGCCCAGTAGCACCTCAAAGACCAGCAAGACTTCTAGGGTCTAAGCTTTGGAAAGTCAAACCTCCCTTCCTCAGATACTGCCACTAGACTTGAACCTTGCTCTTCAACTGTACTCCAGCATGGATACCCACCTGAAACTTACCTGTGATGACTCCCTAATTAGTTATCATCCATATTATATGTGTGCTTGTCAGTGTGGGTTTGGGGTAGCAGTGGTGTTAGGGCTCCTGTGTGCAGCAATGGATGTAGGGGCCATGGCTCAGTGGTAGAGCACCCTCTTGGCACGCGGAAGGTCCCAGATTCAAACCCTGGAATCTCCAGTTAAAAGGATCAGGTAGTAGGTGATGTGAAAGACTTCTGCCAGAGACCCTGAGGAGCTGCAGCCAGTCTGAGTAGACAATATTGACTATGATGGACCAAGGGTCTGATTCAGTATAAGGCAGCTTCATGTGCATTCTGTACTTTCTGAAAGTATTTTTTTGCCTCACTGAAAAGTTAAACCCTTGTTTGGGATACTTAGCTGTGAAAGCAGATATATATTTTTTCCTGATTTCTGGGCTATTGCTCTTCTAATATTTCCCACTTCAAATAGCCGATTAGTCAGCTACTTCACTTGGTGTTGACCTACTGTGCATCTTTCCTCGTTCTGCACCAATTGGCTTATCTGTTTGAATTCTTGATGCTCCTAGCCTCCGGTCTTCATGTTTCTCATTTAGCTTCCATGTCTGGAGATGTGGCCATGTTCCATATGCTTCCCCACAGCTGTGACTGGGCAAACGTTGCTTCTGACAATGGTTGCATCTGTGGAATCATCACATGTGGTCTGAAAAGCTTGGCAGGCAGTGGGGTTAGTGATCCATAAAGGGTGCACCTAAGGGTAGGGTTGCCAGCTCCGGGCTGGGAAATACCTGGAGATTTTGGGGGTGGAGCCAAAGGAGGGCATGGTTTGGGGGAGCCCATCATCCCAAGCAGCCATTTTCTCCAGGTGAACTGATCTCTGTCATCTGGAGGTCAACTGTAATAGTGAAAGATCTCCACCAGATTCCACCTGGAGGATGGCAACCTTATCTCAGGGTCACAAAACTTACCCATTTTAACTACTTCTGCCCATTGAGTCCAGATCGTTCAGATGGAACTTTCTGACTTTTAAAACTATGCCTCCATGGGCAGTACATGAAACTGCCAGAATAAAAGCATGGATCCTGTGCATGAGTACAGCCAAGCCAACAAACCTGGAAGCTGTCCCAGGTGCTCCTGAGTAACCCACAGCCGCTTGCTGTAAGAAAGAACCACTGCTGAATTACATGCACATCTGGAGAAGCTGGTGTAGTTCTTGATGTGGGGGGATTCTTCAGCACTAAATGTGAGAACCTTTGGTCTAGAACTGGTCCAAAACTAATAGTTTTTTTTTTTAAAGGATTGTTGGTATTTGCAAAACTAGGATAATTGTGTGCATTAAAAAAATAATAATGCATGATTGCTTGTGTTCTCCCTTCCATTTTGATCCCATCCTTCCTCTGAGGAGCTCAAGGCAGTATGCTACTCTTTCCATCCTCACCACAGCCTTATGAAATGTGGTTGTGGAGGAAACTGGAACACAGGGTTTCCCACTCCTAGGCCAGTTGTCACCGTTGCACTGCACTGGTGCTGAAGTCCTATGCAGACTTACTCCATTCAAAGTCCATTGAAGTCAACGGGCTCACAGTGGAATCGTTCTGCATAGGACTGCACTGTCACTCTCATACTGGTTTGGGCAGCTCAAGGAGATCTAGTGCAGGGCCAAGAGTGTGAACAGAAGTTGTGACTTTATGTAATCCATATTAATCCATACCTGGCTTTCCCCCTCCATCTTTAACATTATCTTATGGCTCTGTTTTTAGGACTATGTAGATCATTAGTGGGAAATCCTTTGGAGGATGCTTAGAACACACTTTTATTTAACTGCTAACATCTTGCATCTTTCCTCGTTCTGCACCAATTGGCAGAACTGCTAACATCCTGCTTTTGCAGCTTTCCTCAATCTCATCATGCTATGTATCACAAACACACCAAAACAAATGCCTCCCATGCCATGATACATAATGGACTTGGCACCCAACCTCAGCCAAACTGCCATGCCCAGATCAGAACTGGAAACAGTATAATGCAAAAGACATGGTGCAGGCCATAAAGTGGCTAGCTTAAACATTGATTTTATTCAGGTTTTTAAGATGGTTTTCTAAGACTTGAGCATCTGGTGCTAAGAGCTGTTATAGAAAGTTCCAATGACTCATTTATTTTTTCTACAAATGGGGGGAACTGGCTGGTTTTAAGAGGAAAAAGAGCATCCTTGCATAATCCTATGCACATTTATTTAGAAGTAAGTTCAACAGGGCTTCCTCCTGGGCAAATGTGTACATAGGACTGCAGTGTTAAATCTACCCGTTTCCTTGGGAACGGAATGTTTGGAGCAAGACTTTGTGCTGTGATTCTCATGAATGTCCCAGGAATAAATCTAAACCAGCCATTTTATTCCCCCCAACAGATACGAAGATGAAATCAACAAGCGCACAACCGCAGAGAATGAATTTGTGATCCTCAAGAAGGTGAGAAGCACTATTTTCTAAAGCACTAGTCACATGCTATCACCAACAGTGTTCTGATGACCAGTTTAGGGCCAGGCAGCTGAATGCCTCTATCACCAGGGTTGCCAACTCCAGGTTGGGAAATTCCTGGAGATTTTGGTACAGAGTCTGGGAAGGGCAGTGTTTGGGAAGGGGCGGGAGCTCAGCAGGGATATGATGCCATCGAGTCCACCCTCCAAAGTTGCCATTTCCTCCAGGGGGACTGGTCTCTGCAGTCTAGAGATCAGTTGTAATTCCAGGAGATCTCCAGGCCCCACCTGGAGGATGGCAACCCTAATAGCCACACTCAAGATTCTGGTGCTGCGGGAACTCCTACAGTATGAATGCAGCACCTCTATGGATGAAGGCCAACGTGAGTAAAAATTCGCCATTAAAATTCATTTTGGAGGTGATTCTAGTTCCAAACCAACTAAGCATCTACAGTAGTTGCAACTCTGAGAGCTCACATGTAGGCTTTGGTGTGCATTTGAGATATGAGGTCTGATCCACCTAAACAGCAAATGAGATGCTGAAGCTATCCCATTTCAGACAGCAGTTCAGGGACCGTGGGATTCCATGACCAGCCATATGAAAGAACTTCTTGTTCATAGGAAATCAGATGCCCAGGAGATGGGTTCAAGCCTATCTTTCTTTTTGATGCTGTCCTACTTAGGGAGGGACTCTAGCTCAGTGGTAGAACATTTGCTTTGCAAGCAGAAGGTCCCAGGTTCAACCCTTGGTATTTCCAGTTAGAAGGGTGAAGTAGTAGATGATGTAAAATAATTTTATCTGAGACTGTTTCCTGCTGGTCAGAATAGACAGTACTGGCCTTGATAGGCCAATGGTATTGCAGTTCATGTGAATTCTTACAAGCAGGGAAATTTGTCATAGGGATGTATGACCATCCATATGCAGTCTAAAGTTCTCCCACCATCTGTTACATTTGTGTGATAGGACTGAACTCAGAAAAGGCCACAGCTTGCTAGGAAAAAAAAAGATTTTTTGTAATGGTAGAGCGGAGAAAATGAGATAGCTTTTCTAAGATATCCTCTAGAAGAAGGATGCTTAATATTTTTTGAAAATGGGTCATATTAGAAAGACGCATCTTCTAAAATATTGCCGTGCATCCGTAGATGCAGTTACCCACGCGGAACGGCATATTTCTTTATTCTTTGGATTGGGTTGGGAGCCCAAAGCAGTGTTTCTATGATTCAGAGAGGACTTTTATCCTTCCTTGTTTACAAACTAAACAGACAGGACAGAAAAAGAAGAAGGGCAAAAAACACACAGACAAGAGAGGTCATTTGCTCAAGGTCAAAGTAGCCAGTGACATTGCTGGGAACAATTCTAGTGGAGTAGTTATGTTAGACTGTTGCGGCAAAAAGAAACTGGAGTCTTGTGGCATTTTAGAGACTAACATGATTTTATTCCAGCATAAGCTTGTGTGGATACAGCTACTTTGACCAATGCAGGTAATGGATCCTTACTAGGCGTGCATGAATTCACAAAGTTAGGAAGAAGAAAAAGTTGCAAGCAATAGAGGCCAGAAGGTCAGGAAATGCCAGAAGTAGAAGTAATGACACAATTATGTAAAATTCAAATGTAATTAAGAAAAGTACAGAGATCATTCACAACAGCAGGCAATTGATGGCAATGCAATTTTAACCAGCTAAGCTAGATAACACCCGTAACTACTGAAGAATCCTAAGTCCTCATTATGATGGTGTCAAACTTCTTGATGAATTCTAAATCAGCAGTTTCATACTGAGGAACTTCCTTTGAAGGACTGTCCCTGGAAAATGGCAATGTTGTGTCCTGCACTGTGGTCAGACGTGCCACTTAGCATGGTCGGGAAGTGCTCCTAATTTCATCTGTTGTTATTTGACATGGAGACGTTCAGTCAGACATCCCAACATAATCCATTTTGCTGTGGGCTCAGTCCATCACTGAACGATCAGACAGCGTGGTTGGGTGTGGTCTGCATGTTTCCATGCAGGTTTTTTGCACATGCGCTTTTCTGCTCCCTTGGGTCAAGTCTCCATTTTGACAGTGCGCAGATCCTTTTGTGGAGCACTTTGATCTCTTTGGTTCACACTGAGCTGTGGTCACCTGACAGATCACTGTCTTTCCTGCTCATTTTCACATCTAGCCTAGAGATGGAGATGATTATGCAGTTGTGCGCATATCACCAAGCAAACAAAAAAAATGGTGCCAAGTTGGGACGGAATGAACAGACCATCCTGATGGCTTGGGATGGCCCATCGGCAATGATTAGGATCAGATTTTCCCTGGTGCCTTTTAGCTCCATTTCAGGGGCGGGGCAGAGCGGGCTGCTGATGACTGCGGAACCTTTCAGAGATGTTGCTGTCTTAACATGTACTTTAGATCCATCAGGCATCAGCAGCTATATCGGATCTAAATGCACGTCTGACCACAGCCCTGGTACAACGGTGTGTTCTAGTAAACTGAAATGTTGCCTAATGGCTTCTGAATATTGTGTAGGGAGTTTGTGTAGGGAGTGACCTGTTTGTCTTCTATAAAGAGAGGAAGAGAAGAACAATTGAATTGTAGGAACTTTGTTTTCATTGCGAAGGTGAAATAAAACAAGAGTCCAGTGGCTCCTTTGAAAGACTCACGCTGCAGTCCTAAGCGGAGTTACAACATTCTGAAGTCCACTGAAGTCAATGGGTTTAGAAAGGTGAGACTTTGATTAGGATTGCACTGTAGCATAAGAACACTTTACTGGGAATAAACCCCACTGAATAAAATGGGACTTACTTCTGAGCAGAGCTGTTTAGGATTGCACTGGAGTTTAGGATTATGGAGATGGGATTCTCCATCATTTGCACAGGATGGTGACCTTCCTCCTCTTCGGCGCTTCATCAAAATATCACTCTGTCCTTGCGTTATGTTTCTAGGATGTTGATGCTTCCTACATGAACAGAGTGGAGCTGGAAGGCAAGGTGGATGGATTGACTGATGAAATAAACTTCCTGAGATCTCTCCACGAAGCAGTAAGTCACCATCTCTGTGCTATCTCTGCTCCCTAGAGTAAGGAGATAAATAAGGTACTGATTTCAAAGAACTAATTGGAGATCTTAGCTCCTCCTCATAAGGGCTAAGGGCTCCTCATAAAGGCTGAGTACGAAGATCATATCATTCCATTGACAGTCAAGATACACTGATTTAGTGAAACAGCATAAATACTAGCTTGTTTCTCTCATGGATCCATCTTGCAAAGGTATCTTGGGAGCCCCAGTGGAATACAGCAGTTACAGAAGGCTGGGGGGCGGGAGGCTTTCTTGCTACAATAACAAAAAATGTCGAAGGGAGAGGGAAGGAGAGTCAAAGCTGAACCAAAGTGGAGTGGGGTGGGAATGTGCAAGGGAGTGGTTCTGGGAAGGGCTAAAAGCGATAAAGGCTATTCATTATAAGAAAATATATGTGGGGAAACAAACATTGAAGATAAGCATCCAGAGATAAGCGCCTTAAAAGTCTGAGAATCTATATTTTTGCCTCAGCTTCCCAGACATGCAATACCAACTGGATAAGAGAGTGGCTGTTGCTTCTCTGCAGAGAACAGGGTTGTCCTCTGGGGAAATGAATTCAGGCTTCTGTGCTTGGTGTTGCTTTTCCTGACAAAATCATACTGCCTTTTATTTGACAGCTCTTTGCACTTGGAAATAGAAAAGCTTCTTTTCCTTTGCCCAAAAGCAAACATAAGGCTTAAGCATGGTTAGTGCTAACCCTGGGTTGTTGGTTTAAACCTAGTAAAAAAGAGCTCAAGTGTCCATTAAAAAACACAGGCTATATTAGGGTAGCCAGCCCCTGTCTGGCCACCCCCTGGAGCATTCTGGGAGCAGAGCCTGCAGAAGTCAATAGCTGCATGCAGGGGTCATTTTGTAGAAAAAGAGCTAGGGGAACTCATTAGCATAACTCATTAGCATATGCCACACCCCTTGACATCAGGGGCCCGGCGGTGGACCTGCAAGGCCAGCGGGAGTGCAAGGAAGCCCCGCCAAGGCCCTCCTTGGCCCCAGGCAGGCAGGGGTGGGGAGAGGCAGTGAGGAAGCAACTTACCATCCCTCTTCTCCTGCCTCCTCCTGGCTGAATGAGGGATGGAAGCGGGGCAGCTGGAAGCAGGGGGCGGGGCTTCCCCCGCGTTCCCCCCCGAAATGACCGCTGGCTGCATGATACCACAACATTCCTGAAGTGATGTCACAGTGTTGTGTGATGCCAGTTTCTCCACATTTTTGCTCCCAGTGATCCATCAAGCATTGGTAGGAGCCCAGTGCCAGGGGTGGAAAGTTTGAAGAGGCAGCATAGAAATACCCTAAATAAATACTGATAAGCAAGCCCTACCTCTGGAGGGCACTCCAGAGAGACTCCAGTGGGACCTATTTGAACCAGACATATGAAGAGACTGTATTGCTTAGGACACTGCTGTAACCATTGTTTGCTTTTTGCAGTTGTATAACTTCACCAGGGTTAACAACACAGTTCATGGGCTGGATCGTGCACTAATTTCCTGCTAAGAGAAGATATTTCTGCCAGTAGCACAGAAGATTTCTGCTTCCCTGTCCCACTGCAGCCCACCAAACTCCTCTAAGGGCTGCTGGGGAGATAGGGGACCCTCAGAAACAGCGTAAGGGGTGAATTGGGGGTTCACAGTGGGACAGAGGAAATCAGTGAAAATCATTCTGCTGGTGTAAAAAAAATCACCACTGAATCCTACTCAGTGAGTTGCAGACTCTATTCAAAACATGGCTTTAGATTCTGGTTTGCAGCTGGTCCTTAACAATGGTTTATGTATAACATTTAGTCCTGGTTAAGGAAAATAAACTACAGTTAGGTGTTATGTCTTCATGGGTCCATTAAAGGCATGGCCTTTGTCATTAAAAACTATAAGAATTATGCCATAGTTCAAGATTTATTTAGTAAAATATTTGTATGTTGCCTTTTCCTCCCACCATGGTGGCTTAATATTATGGTGCTATCTACGTTTATAAATGTATATTTATTTGTTCAAAATGTCAGTAGAGTTTTTTTCTGGTTTAAACAGCACAGTTAACTTGGATAAATTATTAGGGACTGTGGCCTATACCACTGCGTATACCTTGTTGAAACTAGGATCCTACAATGTAAATTCTGCACTATTTAACGTGTCGTGCTTTGCTTCAGTTCTGTTTTTAGACTTCTGGTTGGTTGTACAACCCTAATCCTATTGCATTGCTTATTTAATGTGCTATATGTCGGCTGTATTGACTCACTCTGTGTCATACGCTTTGAGTCCCACTTCCGAATGAGAAATGTGGACTATAAATAATGTAAATAAGTAATTAAAAAAACACACCCTGAAGTTTAGAGTGGGGTAGTTAAGATGGGACTTCAGTCTAGAATACTTAAGGACAACAGTTAATTCCACACTGTCAACCAGTGTATCATTTGCGTGAGGGACACAGGAGGAGACACACTGAAGCTGATGATAAAAGAGCTTTTGTAACAACCAGCACTTTGATTGAGGAAACATTCTTGGACAACTCTAGTTTCTGTATATTCTGTATATGGTGCCACAAATACATTCATACATATATTTATTTGGGGCACCGTATACAGAAACTAGATTTTCCCAAGAATGTGTATGTATCGATTTACTTCATTTATAGTAAGTCTTTCTCACTTGATACTCAAGGTGGTTTACAACCAGAGTGTTGATTTGTGCAGTTCTTGAATTCAACTGATGGGAGTCAAAGGAAGCTTTACCAATTCTGCCAGTGTAATGAGTTTGTGTAGATTTTTAAAAATGTGATCAATATTCTACATATTTAATATTTTATTGCTTATATATTTAGTAGAAGCTTGCGCAGGAAGTGAATGCAATTAATGATTGTTATTCCTCTATGACAAAAGCTAGAATTCTGATCACGTATAATTACTTTTTTTGTTGCGCTGATTCATAGCCGCAGCCTTTGCCAGCTTTGGCTCTGGCACTCTAAACTGTGCCAAGCACCTTCTTGGCAGAGTGAGATTTTTTTTCAGGAAGACCCTAAGCCCTTGCTTAGAAAATCCGGTTCCTGTCTCACGTGATTCTCGGGCTCAATAGATGGGAGTTTACAAAGGCTGCTGGCTTGATGAGTTCATGTTGATTTTCTTGGCCACGTTGCAGGAACTGGAGTCTATTTCTGAGCCTGTACCAAGTTGTTCACTAATGCAGGGGTTTCCATGGGACACATATTTTCCCCCTTGCTCTCAGGGCTGGGTAAATTACAGAACACATCTGGTCACCATATTGGTAGAGTTACACATTACTACCAGTGTTTGGAGGCCATTTTGAAATGTCCCATGTTTGAAGCTATTTTTTTTTAGCTATTTTTTCCAGGCAAGGGAACTGGGTGTATATATGGCCTATGATCCAGAACAGAAATTTTTCAACATGTCAAACACAAACATTCAAAAAGAACAGTTTGTTGGTTACTATGATAAAGTTTGCAGTGTATCCAAAGCATAAGCTATGGTTAGAATGAAGAGGATCCTGTTCTTGGCCCATGGAAACCTCACGCCACTGGAAGCCTGCTTCTCTCACAGAGCCATTGATGGTAGAACAATATTTTGTAACAACAAATACTGTTAAATACACTTGAAATATTTTTTTAAAAGATCAGTAATATAACAGGAGAACTTTCACCATCTCAATCTCCACAGCACATGTTTTTTTTAAAAAAAGAAACTGGTGAGTGAAGGATCCTAAAAGATGCTGAGGATGAGAATATTTAAATCTTTTCTTCCGTATAATTTTGAGTTGGCTCCAGCTTTTGGGCCTTGGGTCTTTGCAAGAAATATGGAGATGAATGACATTAAGTAAACTCTGAATAAGAAACCCAGTTTCCAGTTGAAGGAAATGATGGCTGGAAGGTGCTTAGAAAACAGCCAATGCACATTACCTGCTTCATTTTTCAGGAGCTGCATGAGATGCAGACACAGATCTCTGACACTTCCGTGGTCCTTCAAATGGACAACAACCGAAACTTGGACCTGGACAGCATCATTGCTGAGGTTAAACAACAGTATGAGGAAATCGCCACCAAGAGCAGGCAGGAGGCAGAATCCTGGTACCAAACTAAGGTGGGCAACAATAGCGAAGGCGGATCGGTATGTGAACCACAAGCTGGAGGTTGTGGCAAAGATTCTAACACTCCATGGAGCAAAAATTGAATGAAGGCTTCCTCCAGCCTAAGGAGACCCTCTTCTTCCACCAGAGGAGCTGCTTAAGCTGGAGGAAGGCACCGCAGAATGGAGTGACTTCCTCCAACCCAAGGCAGGGTGCACACTTTGGATTCTATCCCTTTGTAGTGGTTCAGTATACAGTAATTGTTTTCACAAACAAGATGCCCACGGTACTTCAGACTTCGTATACTTACTACTTCCTGGGATCTGTTTTATCTGCACGCCAGTCCCACAGGGTGATTTTAATTATCCCTTATTGCCATCAGAATATCCATGATCAGAAGCGGGTGACTGACAGCTCTTTGATTGACCCTGAAGGAAGTCCATTGTGGCATCATCAACTGTCCAGCCAATTGTCCTTCTCTTCCTTTCATATTGCATTCTTAGTCAATGCATACTAGTCAGACAGTCTTAAGAAACTTCACACTTTGCACAAATAAGCACAGAGATTGATAACAGATAACCAATTATGTTACCCCTGCCAAAAAAAACCCTGTCTATTCATTACGTCTTTCCATAAGCCCACTTACCTACCTTACTGAGACACACAAGTCACCCACTCATCACATCACTCATCTCTTCTCCTCTCCTCTGCAAACAGATGTCATTTGGGAAACTTCCCAGGGAGGGAATGAGAGGGCTGGACCCATCAGCCTAAGGTCACTGACAGCTTTTTGGATTTAGGTTTGATGGGCAGAAGAGGGGGAGAGCAGGTACAAAGAAAAGTAGACAGGTATCCTAAAACAGGTGACAGAGCCCTTGTTCTATAAATTGCAAGTTTCTCCTGTCCATCAGACACCTTCTGAATACTAGCCAGGACACCAGATATTGGTTTCTCCTATTCCCCAAGTCCATCTCTTCTGCAACCGAATGGCTGCCATTCACTTCTACGAGGGAAAAAGTAAAACACTTCCTTTGAGGTCTTAGTTACAAGGAGTTCAGTAGCTTGCAAGATGCCCCTCCTGATCTTGGTGGGCTGTGTCTCCAGCAACAGGGGTCCTGTGGCCCCCAAAGAGGATGTCTTGCCACGCCCTTCTCACACTGACCTTCATTTCTATCTTTTTTGTGTGTGTTCTGTTCATCTCAGTTTGAAGCCCTGCAAGCCAGTGCTGGGAAGCACGGAGACGACCTGCGTAGCACAAAGACTGAGATTGCTGAAATTAACCGCAACATACAGAGGCTGCAGGCTGAGATCGATAACATGAAAAATCAGGTGAGGAGAAAAACTGTTGAAGAAGGATACTGTCATGGAAGGTGCATGCTGAATGAAAGAAATAGGGGGGGTCCACCCCAAACAGTGCCCACTCTGCCCACTCCCACTACCCCATCAAACGGTTCTGTTGATTGGCGAACTGCCTCACTTTCTGAGCAAGTACCAAATTCACAGTGCCATCCCAAGGGGGAGGCGTGGCTGATTGCCCCGGCACAGTTTGATCCACGATTACGCGATCAGACGCGCCAGTGGCACATCACGGGTCCTTCCCTCAGCGCCAGCGGGTAAACGGGCATCTTGAGGCAGCCCGTGGCAAACGTTTACTAGTTTTTTAACGCGCATTGTCGGTGGTAAGCCACGGGTGCACTCCACTTCCCAGATGTTGGGGTGTGATCGCGCCCGGATAATCCGCCCACCATCCATGCCTCTCCCGCGGCAACTTTGCCGTGTGACCGGGGCCATAGCCCATTATAGTTAATCAGTCTAGAAGGGGTTGACTCTGTTTAGCATTGCCTTGTGAGTTAGTTAGGAGAGTTTCTGTCTCTTGGCAGTCTCAGTTAAAGGAAGCTCCTGTTGCTGTCCAAAACCATCCCAAGCAGAGTTATTTTCATCTAAGCCCATTAGAGTTAATCGGTCTAGAAGGGGTTGACTCTGCTTAGCATTGCCCTGTGAGTTAGTTAGGAGAGTTTCTGTCTCTTGGCAGTCTCAGTTAAAGGAAGCTCCTGTTGCTGTCCAAAACAGCCTGTGATTCACCTCACCTTCCTGCAAGGCATCCCATTGCTGGTTACAGAAGGAAGGAGTCATGAGTTCCATCAGAGCTGCCCAGAGGAAGCTTCCTTGCGTGCAGATCAGATCTAGTCTACAGTTGCCACCGGATAGCTAATGCTGCTCAGTTTGGCTGTGGTCAGACGTGCCATTTGGCGCAGTCAGGAAGCGCTCCTATTTCATCTGTTGGTATTTGAAATGGAGTTGCTCGATCACACATCCCAGTATAATGTGTTTCACTGCGGGCTCAGCCCATCACTGTGTAATCAGATGATGTAGATGGGTGAGGGGTTTTTTTGCCTGCTTTTGTGCATGTGCATAAACAAGGGTGCAGTTTTTTGCACGCGTGCTTTCCAACTTCTGGGAGTCCAGTCTCTACTTTGACCACTCACTGATCCTTCCACGGAGCACTGTGATCCCTTTGGTTCACAGTGAGCCGTGGTCACCTGACACAGATCACTCCCTTTCCTGCTCATTTTCAAAGCTGGCCTAGAGATGGGTGCGATTATGTGGTTATGCGCATATTGCTAAGTGAGCAGAAGGGGAGCCTAGTCAGGATGGAATGAGCAGACCATTCTGATGGCCTGAGAGCGCACTTGAGCGATCAGACTAGGGAAAATCTGGCCATGGCCCCTTGGCAAGCATTAGTACTGGACTTTCCTTGGTGTCTTTTTACTCTGTTTCAGGGGTGGGGCAGAATGGGGTGCTGACAACTGAGGAACCTTTCCCAGATGTTGCTGTCTGTTGTGCACTTTAGATCCATCAAGCATCATCAGCTATAGCGGATGTAAAGACACGTTTCATTGCAGCCTTTGGGAATCTAACTCTCGTCCCCTTCTGAGCCAAAGTTGGCTTCCTATCTAAAGCAGAGACAACAAGTACATCATGATGATCTTCTGAAAGGCCCCCAAACTATTCCTGTTTTCTTCAGAAAGGCCCCCCAAACTACTCCTGTTTCCAGTTCCGGGGGGGGGGGCACTCTTTGAAAACAAAAAATAATAATAATCACTTTCATTTAGTTTGCCCCGAGTGATTTCACCCACTAGCCAAATCTGATTGGTTATATATTGTTCTGATATTCACTGTGTGATCCCTGATTGGGTGGCATTGGCCATGCGACTGATCTGGGAGGGAAGCAGCAGCAGCAGCAACCAGGGATGGGGGAAATTGGACTGAATCAGCAGCATCCGGAGGGAACAGTGGTCCTGAACGTGGTTGCTAAAAGTCAAAAATTTGCACAAGTTGTTTCCAGGGGAAAATTTCTATCCCACTAAATATGCATCACCCATTTCATGTGGGATGTACTAGTTTTAAGGGCCCCAAACACAATTGGCTTCTTGAGAGCGTCTTCTGTGAGTCATTCGATGATTTTAACATGTAAAGGTTGCAACGCTGGTTGCCTTGAGAAGGACTTGTACCTTTTTCTCTACCCAAATGCTTTTGTAATTATTTCCATGGGATCATATCCATGCTACAGACTTAAGGAAGTTTTATAAGTCACCCTGCAAGGAAACATAGACATGTGAAAGGTGGCTGGATGGATCTTTTCTGTCAGAGTATGCATAACAGGCTCACCAAGCTAGACTTCCTAGAATTCTTTGGTGGAAGACACCATAATTATAGTGATATAAAACTGATAGAGTATGAAAAATAGACAGGGCAAGACAAAAAAAAAGGCACAACAGAATTAATTCACCAGTTGGATTTTCAAGGCTGACCTTAAAATAGAATCTGGTATCCAGTGTTCCCCCTAAGCTGAGTTAGTGTGAGCTAGTTCACAGTTTTTTAGCCTCTGGCTCACACATTTTTGTCATATCTCTGGAAGGATGGCTCAAGAACAAACTAATTTATGCAGTAGCCAAATGGCTCACTCAGAACTTTAATGTCACTAGCTTATGAAGTAGAATTTTTGCTCACAAGACTCCACAGCTTAGAGGGAACATTGGTATCCACTCCATGAATTCTCCTTCAAAAACACCAATGGATATCAAATACTAGTGTATTTTCCATGCATATGCTTCTATGGAGTTGATAAGTAAAGGTCCTATAATTCAGGCATGGTATGTCCATCTCTCTGAAAATAACTGGTATAATAAGAAGAAATGTCCTCTTGGTATGGATCTTCTAGTCTGCAGTCAAAAAATGGACCCTTAGGTAGCTCTCAAGCAAAACATGATAGAAATAGCCAGAGACATACTGGCTCAGTTTCAGACATAAAACAAAACCATTGTTCAATTAAACTAACTACAGTTAGTGTGCATGTCTCAAAGCAGGCTGCTTCGTTAACAGTGGTGGTCTGGTGGGTTTATGTCAGCCCAAGGTATGAAACCAACATTTGAAGTTGGTGTAATTAACCACATTCAGTCTTAATTATGGTTTTGTATGATGTACTATCCTATCATGACGCTGACTAGTTTCTTGGTGCTGCTCTTAGGCATTTCCTAGCTACAGAAATTTCTAGCCAGAGGAGAGGTAAGGAAACCAGCACATACCAAGGCAAATCACAATCTCAATGATCACCTATGGACCAGACCTTGGTCTTACAAACTAACCATATTTGAAATAAACCATGGTTTTGCCTAGTCTGAACCTAGCTACTGCCTCTGAACTTCAGAAATTCCATTCCTGAAGATTATGGCTAAGAACTATTGTCCAGACCAACTGGCATGAATTTATCCAGTCCTTTTTTAAAGCCTCACACTATCCCACTAAATATGAGTTCCATAGCAATGCAGCCTGGGTTTCTATTTTGTTCCAAACCTAGTTAGAAAGCAGAGTGGAGAGCACTGAGACAGTTCATCTGTTCTATCAGTCGGTGGCCTTCTCAGCCTGCTTGAAGAGGGGCAGTGACTCAGTGGTCGAATATCTGCGTTGCTTGCAAAAGGCCCCAAGTTCAATTCCTGGTATCTCCATTTAAAAGGATCAACGGGCACATGATATGAAAGACCTTTGCCTGAGATCTTGGAGAGCTGCTGCAAGTTAGACAGTCCTCCTGACCCTAATAGACCAGAGGTCTGACTCAGCTCCCTGTATGTTCTGACCTGTGAATTCCATCCATTGGCCATTTTGTTCCAGTAGCTGGCAAACTTACAGATTTGACTCTGTGATGATTCATGCCAGAATGTTCTGTATTCTGGCGAGCACTGCCAATTTGCAGGTAGAAGCTGGGCAGAAACTTATTCTGCCAATGGTGCCCTCAAGGACAATGAATAACCAGAGTTTGAACAAAAGCAAAGAGAGATACGCTGCTGTGAATCACTCCCTATAGCATTTGTTTAGCTTTAGGGCAGGCTGGCTACAGCAAACATCCCTAAGCAAATAGTGTGATCCAGGAAAACTCACATCTGAATAATGAATGGGAGCTTTGCAACCAAGGTGTGGTAATACACCCTTCCTCTATAGGATTTGCACATATTTGCATTGCACTACAGGAGAGCATTATGCTGATAACACAGTTGATGATAGGAGCATAGGGAAATAGGCTCTGCATTGACACAAGAGCATAAGAAGAGCCCTGCTGGAGCAGACCAATGGTCCATCTCGTCCAGCATCCAGTCTAACACAGTGGCCAACCAGTGCCTCTAGAGGGCCAAAAATAGGACATAGAGGTTGAGACCTTCCCGATTTTACCTCTTGGCTCTGGGATAAAGAGATTTAGTGCCCCTGAATGTGGAAGTTGCCTTTAGTTGCCATGGCTAATAGCCATTGATAGACATCTTCCATTAATCTATCTAATCCCCTTTTAAAGCTGTTTATACCTGTGGCCATCAATACATCCTCTGACAGCAAATCCCACATTTTAATCACTCTCTGTGTAAAGTAGCATTTCCTTTTGTCCATCCTGTACCAATGGCCAGTGACTAGCCATTTTTATTTTTATTTTTTTAATATTTATTAAATAAACTGTCTCCCTCATATTTGGGGCTCAAGGTGGTGTACAGCATTTAAGAGATACAATCAATCAAATTTAAAACAAGTTAAAAATAGTAAAGCAAATACAGTACCCATTCCAGATGGCGCCTTGAATAAATTTATCCTAATCCTTACAAGCCCTGCGGAACAGTACTAAGTCCCACAGGGTATGGATGCCATTGGGCAGAGAGTTCCACCAGGTCAGAGCCAGGGCTGAGAAAGCCCTGGCCCTGGCCGAGGACAGCCGGATATTTTGTCATGTACAAGGAGGTGTATGCAATATCCAGCAAGCATGTCCAACATAGGTGGAGCACAAAGGACGGGTTGAACATGTGAGTACAAGAAGCTGTCTTATACTGGACCAGATCAGTGGTCTATCAAGGCCTTCATGGAGAAGAGGTCCATCAGTTTGTTTTATGGCTCCATGCCTTTTTTGCTGGACATCACCCAGAACCCTGCACAAGCAAGGATAGGGTGATTATCATCATCATCATCATCATTGCTTTTTTGTAGAAAAAGCCCAGCAGGAACTCATTAGCATAATAGGCCACACCCAACAGCTGAAACTCATTAGTATATCAGGCCACACCCCAACAGTACAGTTCATTAGCATATCAGGCCACACCCCATGCCTTCCCTTGGCTTGCCCGGTGCCCCATGGCTGTGGGAAACCCAGGCAAGCCCCCACTTGAAGGGCAAGCCAGCCCACAGAGAAGCCAGGGAAGGCACGGGGAGGCATTTAAATGCCTCCCCGATCCTTTCAGGAGCCCCCCTGGCCTGCCCGCCACGGAGTTGCTGGGGGGGGGTGTCGCTCTCCAGGCCTTCCCTCTGTAGTGGGCGTGGCCATTCCTGCCCCAAAATAGCCCTGATGATGATGATGATGATGATGATGATGATGATGATGATGAAGAAGAAGAAGAAGATTAGCTACTGGCCATGTGGACTGAAGGGAACTTCCATACACAGAGGCAGTAAAACTTGGCCACTGTGTGCTCCCTGTTTGTTTGGCCCTCTGGGGAAACATGTTTGCTACTGTGTAGAGCAGTATGCTGGATTAGATGGACCACTGGTGTGATCCAGCAGGCTCTAGTTATGTTCTTGTTTCAGTATTGTCTGATCTGACTGGCAGTGGCTGTCCAGAGTCTCAGGCAGAGATCTTTCACATTACCTATTACCTGATCCTTTTAACTAGACATGCTAGAGATTGAACCTGGAATCTTCTGCATGCAAAGCAGGTGCTCTACCACTGAGCCTACACTTAAGATGGATGGGTGATTCCCCCCCCCTTCCCTAAAAATTGTCTATCCATTTTTATCCTGCACTTCCTTCAGCGAACTGATGCCACCATACAGGATTGTCACTCCCCTTCCCTGTGTGTAGCCTTGGTCATCCTCAGGTCATTGAATGAGCTTTGTGGCTGTGGCAGAATTTTGCATTAAGGGAGACTTGGCCATTTATGTATAAGGTATATTGAATAGATGTAGCAAAAACAGACTTTGATTTCTTCCCATGAAGCACCGCAGTATGTCCAATGCCTGCTTCCTAGTTGCAAAGTGGTGCCTGGCTGTGAACAAACGGTTTCCCACACATACCTCACATTCCTTGAGCCAAAATGCACTAAATCCCAAGGCTGAATCTCTAGAGATTTTTGTCTATACCTCACCTGCTCTGGCCAGAGGCTTTGACCTAACTGATAGACCTTAGGGAGGAAAAGTTTATGGTTTTATGGTGCCACCAAGGGGAAGGGTCTGGCTACTGGTGCGCTCATGACATTCTCATGGGACATTTGATGCGTGTCTTTTATTATCTTGCAAAAGGGAATAAATATTGTCAAGATTCTATTGTTCAGCACTACCTCCTGAATGCCCTTGGTGTTGGTCAAGAGACATCTCTTTTTTAATTGTGTACACTGCCGTTTTTGGTTAATGCTTTGAGCTTTTTTTGTATTATCGTATGGTTCAAATAAATAGATTATACTGCAGACTTGTGTTTAGGGGTGTGCACACAAAAAAAAATCTGGAATTTTTCGAAAATAAATAGATTGTACTGCAGGCTTGTGTTTAGGGGTGTGCACCCCAAAAAAAAAATCCGGAATTTTTCGAGTTTGGATCTACCGAGCCTGAAAAATTTAAGTATTTGCTGATATTCCCAAAACTCAGTATTGGTATGATACTGGGGTTCGGGAATTATCGGACTAGCTGAATAATTCGGCTCAATTATACCCTATGGGGACTGTCCTCATAGGGTATAATAATCCTGCCCCTTGAAGGGGGGGTTTCCTATCACTGAAGGGAATGCAAATGGAAGGGAAGGCATTTAAATCACTATCTTGAATTAATTAAATCACTATCCAGAATTAAATCACTATCCTGAATAAATTCCTATCACTGAAGGGAAGGCATTTAAATGCCTACCCATGCCTTCCCCAGCCCACCCTCCAAAGCGGGCGAGTCAGGGGAGGCCTGGAGAGGGCCCCCGGCTTTCCCTGGCCTCCTGTGTTCCAACTACCAAATGTTTCCTTCATTTATATAAAAATCCCCTTACTATTTTTCTAGTGAGCAGAAAGGATGCCTCTTTGACATGCTCATTTTCTAGGTGTAGGGATTTTCGTCAGGGATTGAGAGAAGGATAGTCTGAACAGTCCTGTGCTTTGTCTTTCTAGCGTGCCAAGCTGGAATCAGCCATTACTGAGGCAGAGGAACGTGGGGAAATGGCTGTCAAAGATGCCAGGGCAAAGCTGGAGGAGCTGGAAGCTGCACTGAACAAAGCCAAGCAAGACATGGCCCACCAGCTGCGAGAGTACCAAGAGCTCATGAATGTCAAGCTGGCCCTGGATATTGAGATCGCCACCTACAGGAAGCTGCTGGAAGGAGAGGAGAGCCGGTGAGTAGCTGCAATCACCATGCCTCTTTATGCTCCGTGCTTAGTCATTGTACACCATCCCAAACTGATGGCTCTGTAAGTAGGAAGATAACATTGCTGCCGGTATGATAGCGTTTGGTCTTGTGACTCCAGCAGCTGCAGCTTGTGGGGTGGGAGGCAGAGAACATCCCCTACATCTGACCACTGTTGAAGGGGGAAGGGGACACAGTGCCCTTAACTAATGGGCATCAAGAGACTTTGATGGGGCTTCTAGGGCCATGACTGCAGTCCTGTACAGATGAAAAACTACTGAGTGGCTAGAAGAACCTGGCGCCAGCAAGTGATATTATCACCTGTTGCATGTGCCAGGTTCCACTACCTACTCAGCTGCATATCATGCGGTGGCCACGGTCCTGGGAGCTCTGCCACTGCTTCCCAGAGACTGGAAATGGTCCTGCTTTCTCCTCCGCCATCAGTGGGCATGGTGAAGGTTGAGATGTTTCTGTGTCCCATCCTGATCTATTATTTTTGGGCTTTCCTTCTGTTTACCCTTGTGGCCCATTTGGTGGGCTTATATTGGACTGAGGATCTTGGATCTGCTCTGGCAGAGCAGTTGTTATGCTTCCCCTAGGGCTGGAACACCTGCGTTGATTATTCAGACACACTGCTGTCGCCTCTGAATATTTCATACGGAGAACAATTTCTTTTGTGTTGCTGCTTTGTCACCAAGAGCCAAAATCCTGTGGGTGCTGTTAGAGAAAATGAAAACTAACTCTTTTTCCCTCTTCTTTTCTTGTCAGGCTGTCCGGTGATGGAGTTGGTGCTGTGAACATCTGTGAGTTTGCTTATTATTTATTGAATTCTCCCCTTTCAATTAAAACTATAGGCTCATAATAGATCCAGAACTGACAAAGGCTTCCTTTCGTGGCACAGAACACATCCCCTAGGGGGTGCACCTTCTGCTCACCTGACAATTAGTGGTGGAGGGGGGGGACTTACCAGGAGTGGGAATGAGGACCAGGCAACATTGCAGTGATGTATCTACATCACTTCTGATGTGACCCAGAAGTGATGTCATAATGCAGCAACATTGGGCAATGCTCTCGTATTTGGGCAAAAACTATCTGGTAAATTTTTCTTCTATCATAGAGTTTTTGCCCAAATAACAGAGTGTCACCCTAATGTTGCTGGTGTGATGATGTCACTTCCAGGTCAGGTAGGAAGTGATATAGACATGTTGCTGCACATCAGCTGGGACTCACTTTTTTTCGAGATAAGTTGCCCCCCCCCAGCCATCTGATTGGCGGCAGGACCTGGCAGTGGGGGAATAATACATAATTCATGTGCCACCATTTTACCTGTGTTTCATCCACAAATATCAGTAGGGAAGGCCAGCTGCTACATTCTCAGGGATTACTCTGTTCTCCAGACAGAGCAGGAAGTGTATTTTGCTGCACCAAGCTTTGGATCCCCCGGAGTATTTCTGCTAGTGTTCCCATTTCCCTGGTTGGTGGGCAGAAACTGGATGGCCAAATCATCCCTACGTGATGACACAACTTCTGTTGAGACCCAGAAGCAATGGTGTAGCACCAGGGGCAACGCTCTGGCACTTGGCCAGAAAGTCAAGGTTTTAGCTGAGTGACTCAGCATTGTCCCAACATGATGCTATTGCTTCCAGGACATGCTGGAAGTTGCATCATCACCTGGGGATGATGATCATCCCCCCCCCCAGTACTCCCTCCTCCCATCTCCCACTAGTTGCCAGGCCATTCAACCCTGGTGTCTGGAGATGGAGCGATCTCTAGCCATGCAGTATTCTTCCCCACCCCCAACTGTTGCAACCCCAAATGCCCTCCCATGCTGGTTCTACTGGACAGGGGGCCCCAAGGAAATTTTTAGAACTCTTCTCCAAAGTATAAAGGCTGGGACACACACAGGCTACAAAGGGAAGGGAGTTCCCCAACTATGAGACAAGTCTCTTGCTTAGGGCTGCCATTCTCCTGACGGGGGCAGGGATTTGCCTGCTTTCAGGACCCCAGATCTGCCGGCCCGGATTTGGCTGGTGGGGAGAACCCTGCCCCCAAAGCGCCCGGTTTGCTGCATTGGGCCCAGCACAATGATGTCACCTGGAGGTGACGTCATTACGCAGGGCACGTTGTGAGGGGGACGGTCAATCATTTAAGGAAAAACCATAGAGTTTTCCCTTAGGCAATAGAGCATCCCCCGCAATGTGCCCTACGCGATGACGTCACTTGCGGGTGATGTCATTGCAGTGCTCGAACTTTGTGCATGTGCTGAAAAGCTCCAGGAGGACAACCCCCACCAGCAGCGAGGTAAGACCTGGCATTAAGGAAAAACCATAGAGTTTTTCCTTAGGCAATAGAGCATCCCCCGCAACGTGCCCTACGCGGTGACGTCACTTGCGGGTGATGTCATTGCGGTGCTCGAACTTTGCGCACATGCTGAAAAGCTCCAGGAGGACAACTGGGACTCCCCACCAGCAGCGAGGTAAGACCTGGCAACCCTACCCTTGCCTCACTGTTGTGGAGTGCACATACATGATCCACAGCCAAAATCCAAAATTAGAGCTATAGTGTCAAATTATGGAAAATTTATTTTTGTTCTTGTCACCACTTGAAAAGATGTTTGTTTTCCTTACAATGAGTTCTAAACAGCCTGATTACGTATTGCCTTCTGACCCAGAACCTGCCCAGGGGGGTCACTAGGTGCAAGGTCTGCCAGGGCTTTTGAGGGGGGTTAAATGACAGACATTTTTAAGGGGAGGGGAGCGATATGAACTTGCCCTTTTATCTTTCGTTTTAGCTGGGAGGGTTCATAACTGTTATTGTAAGCCGCCTTGAACCAAGGGGAAAGGCAGGATATAAATGTTTTCTTTTATTTTTTTTAATCTTCTTTTCTGCTACAGCTGTGGTCAACTCCAGTGCTGGTGGTTATGGCAGCGGTGGTGGTTATGGCAGCGGTGGTGGTTATGGCTATGGAGGAGGAATCAGCCTGGGGAGTGGAATGGGCAGCGGAGGCCTCAGCTTTTCTCCCGGAGGTGGCTCTAGCAGCAGGAAATCATACAGTGTGACCAGCAGCACAACTCGGCGAAGCGTCAGAAACTAAGCTCTGAAGACCACGGTCATCACTGCCTGAGCAGAAGAAACAGCATCTCTACCCCCCCTTCCCCTTTCCCCACAACAAAGCAAGAAAAAAAAATCCGTTCATGGTCTCCCCAAAGCCACGCTGGTAGGAAGAATTCTCACAGTCACATATTCTGCAAGTATGTAATCCCCCAGCACAGACAGCTTTGCTGTTGATTTCATGGACAGCAAAGCGTGAACCTCTACAAGTAGAATACAAACCTATATAGGCAAATTTCACATTGGCTGTTTTCAGGGCAGACATTGGCTTCTCCCCTTGCCTTCCCGATTTTCCTAAAAGGAAATGAAATATGAAAGCCCCCCAAAATAAAACTGGAACTGTTGGCTTGGATCCAGGAGAAAAGCTCACCTGATCGAAGGGATTTCCATCAGCAGAGGATGATTTCTTGACCTCCTCACTGCTGCAGCCCAAAACGCCACCCTGAAAAGCTGTTCTTGGGGAACAGGGGACTCCCCACCCCACAGGAACAGAATGGGAGTTGGAGGTTTGAAGTGGGAGGGGGGAATCAGTGAAAATCCCTGTCTCTTCTATCAGCTGCAATTTTCTGCAGGATCCAACCTCCCCCCCCCCCGACTTCCTATGCAAAATTGTATTCTGTTCCGTGAGATGGATTCCCATCTGTTCTACCTTCCAGTCAGAGAAATAAGATTAATAGCAATGCATTTGCTGTGTTGGGGGACACTGGTCAGATGCTGGGGTTTTGAGCAGGGAATCTTGGAGGCCCATTTCAGACTCTTTTTCTGGGGAATAACCCTAGAGTTCACCTTCTCTTATTGTGCCGTGGTTCTGTGACACCTGAGATTCCACACCACTTGTTTTCTGTCAAGGAAGGATGGTTTTGCAATGCTGATAACAGATTTTGTGCGAGAAACCCCCCCTCTTATTCTTTTGTTTTGGATATGCAAAAGAATTTGTTTCCCTGCAATAAACATATTTTATATTTGTTGCCTTTGCACAAAAATGCACCAGCTTTCCAATGCCATATGGTAAAATACCCCCCCAAGCAGCCCCCCCACCTAACAATTAACCACTTTTCTGCCAGATATTGTTTAGTATTTTTATTTTTTCCTGCAACGTCTGACAATGATGGCAGCAAATACACTCCCCTTCAAAAATGGCAACCTTATGCCCTTATTTTTTCCATTTTATATTTTAAAAATATTTTCCTCCAGTTTTTATTTTTTCCTTCATTGTATTAGAGCGCTCAGGTGCTGCTGGGCAACACAACAACAAGGAAACAAATAAGCCTCTTAAAAAGGAAACTTTTTAAAAAAAGATGTGTCCAAAAAGCTAGTAGTTTTTGAAGGGCTCTAGTCTGTATTGTTTGTTGATGTTCTGCTACTTCAGGGTGCTGGAAAAAATATTTAAAATAGATAGTTTTTTTTAAAAAAAATGTAAAGATTGTTTTGCTACACAAAGCCTGTACTTTTTGACAAGTGGTTTATCATGTTTTCATTGCTGTTTTAAGAAAGCTGATGTGTTTCTGTACTAAGCAAAAATATAAAATCAATGCATGGGGTTCCCCACCCCCCCAGCACAAAGGCATTTATTTCTATGTTATTTTTACGCAGTTCTTCAACAGAGCATACAATAAAACCTTTCTAAAGCAACTGTTTTGAGTGGAGGTTTTTTAAAATTATTCTGGTTCCATTCTGGAAATAAAACTCCACAAAACAAACAAACAAAAAACAACAACACCCATTTCTGGGAGAAAGTCAGCCAAGGAGGATTTTGTGGACAACCCTAGTCTCTTCCCATAAACCCATTGAAAGAGCTCCTAGCTTGGGCGGAATCATTAGGAATGAGCGAACCTGCCGTCGAGGTGTCACACGGTCCTCACTGCAACAGCAAGTGCTTCTACTCTGTCCTATTGCCATGCATGTAGATACTTGGATCTGTGAGCAACCTTTGGGTGCCTTTTAATAAAGCTTGCCTATGGTGCCCACTGCTGTGTACTGTGCTTTTATCAGCCTTTGATCTGACAATGGGTTGCACATATTTATTTATTTCATTGGTCTTATGGCCCACTTTCCCCCCACGAATGGGCTCAGGGTGGGTAACATCACGATAAAACACAATATGCAATGTAAAACATTCATAATTCTAATACAATAAGTACAATCAGGGCTTTTTTTGTAGAAAAAGCCCAGCAGGAACTTATTAACATAATAGACCACACCCAACAGCAGAAATTCATTAGCATATTAGGCCACACCCATGATATCACAGGTCATTAGCATATTAGGCCACCCCCATGTTACCAGAAGTGTGGTCATCCAGCCACACCCACCTTTTGCTTCTTATTCTGTTTACTTTGTTGTCAAAACCCAGGGCTTTTTTTTGTAGCAGGAACTCCTTTGCATGTTAGGAAACACACCCCTAATGTAGCCAGTCCTAATGAGTTTCTGCTGTTAGATGTGGCCTATTATGCTAATGAGTTCCTGCTGGGCGTGGCCAGCTCAGGAGCCAGCCGGAACTCCGTTCCTGTGCGTTCCTGCCCCAAAATAGCCCTGAGTACAATGAAATGATAAAATATATTTCACAATTCTACTAATGGATGGTGTGAAGTCTCAGGGGGAGTTAGTATCTAAAAACTGTCTGGTATGAAGGAAAAAGTGGGAGGGGAAAAGGAGAAGGGAAGGGGGGGGAGGCCAATCAAGGCCAATCCAGTCATGAGTTGCTTCCTGCTGCACCAATCCTGTGCAACTCTTATGCGACATAAATCCTACTGACTTGTACAGAATTTAAGATACCCTAACAATATTCATGATTGCAACCCCCAAACAGGGTTACAACAGGCTTGGATGAAAAATTCCTGGCCTTTTGATATAGGTTTAAAGTGTAATCCTAAACAGTTCCTTTGTAATACCAGGATTTAGAAGAAGGTAACATTGCTTCAGATTGCACTGCAAATGCATGAAAATGGGCAGCAGAAGCTTTTCATGGCATAGAGGCAGGGGTCATTTGGGGGGGGACGCGGGGGGACGCCATCCCCCCGGGTGAGGTGCGGGAGGGCGGGGCCTGGAGCTCCCTGCTGGTGCCCGCTGGAGGTTGCCGCCGGCTGTGGGGAGGACACACTTCCGGTGATGTCAGGGGGTGTGGCATATGCTAATGAGTTATGCTAATGAGTCCCCCCAGCTATTTTTCTACGAAATGACCCCTGCATAGAGGTAAATAAGATCACTTGGTAAATAGGGCTCTGGGAAGGAAGGCTGGTATACAGGGTTGCCAGGTTGCCCCTGGCTGCCGATGGTTAGGAAACTTCTGAAGATTTGGGAATGGCACTTGGGAAGGATTAGGACCTCAGTGGCGTACAACACCACACAGCCCAGCTTCCAAACATCAATTTTCTCCAGGGAAAAAGATCTCAGTAGTGTGGAGATGAGCTGTAATACCAGGAGATTCCCCAGGTCCCACCTGGAGGCTGGCATTCCTACCAGAATAGCCCACTTTAGACAGATCTCAAAAGCTAAGCAGAGTCAGTAGGTGGACGGGAGACCACCAAGGAAGGCTCTGCGAAGGAAAGCAATGACAAACCACTTCTGCTTCTGCCTTGCCTCGAAAGCCCCTTGCTGGGATCACCATAAGTTGGTTGTGACTTGAGGGCACTTAAGTTCATATGTAAAGAAGTCTCTATTCGAGAGAGATGACATTGGCCCAATCTGCATTTGCTATGGAAAGCGGTTTCATTCTGCTGTGGCACCAGCTTCCTTTGCCTTCCATTTGGCTCAGTATAAAATGCTTGCTGTCTGCATCAGGACAGAGGGAGAGCGCGAGAGAGGGGGGGGAGGAGTGGCCTTCCAGGAGCGCCAGCAGGGTGCTGCGCTGCGCTACGGGGAGGAAATGGCACCTGCAACACACACACACCCCGAAAGTAAAAGGGGGGTAACCTGGTGGAGGGGGAGGCGGGGGGCAAAAGGACGGAACGAGCTGGGTAAAAAACACAAAACGCCCGGGCAGTTGCCAGGCAGGGTGTTCTTGGGACTGCCCCAAGAAATAACAAATGGTTCAGGGGTGGGTGTGCTTTCAAACACCCCTCCCCCAAATACAATTGCAGAAAAATGTTCCCTGGCTCCTTTTATATGCAGACGGCTGGATTTTCAGCTAACTAGTTTCCTTTGTGACAATTTGTGTATTTCTTTAGAAAAGATGGGTAGTGGTGGTGGTGGGGGGAGAATTCAGTTCCAGTTGTCTGCTTATCGCTCACAGCAGCTTGAGGGTGGGGAGGAGCAACTAAACCACTAAATGGCAATAAAATGATGCAGACAGCCAATGCTGAGATGAAACAGTAGGAGAGTGGATGTGGCATGAAATGCAGACAGAAATTTGTGAGACGATGTGAGATCGTTGGCACAGTGGCGGGAAAGACCAATGCAGATTGGACCATTGCTTCCCAAGGCAGTATGCAACAACCCTAGGTAAAGGTAAAGGTTCCCTTGCTCAAAAGCCAGTCGAATCCGACTCTAAGGTTGTGGTGCTCATCTCAGTTTCAAAGCCGAAGAGCCAGCGCAGTCCGAAGACGTTTCCGTGGTCATGTGGCCGGCATGACTAAACACCAAGGCGCACAGAACGCTGTTACCTTCCCACTGCAGTGGTACCTATTTATCTACTTGCAATTTCTTGCTTTCGAATTGCTAGGTTGGCAGGAGCTGGAGCTCACTACGTCATGCGGCACACTCGGGTCTCGAACTGCTGAACTAGCAACCTTCCACAGCCTGCAGTTCAGCATCTTAACCACTTGAGCCACCGCAGCTCCTTATGCAACCCTACTCAACATGTAAAGGAGCCATTTCTTTTCCATGCACCTTTCAGCTTTCATCAACCCTACTCCTTGCAGGCCGGTAGCTACAGTGGGGCCTCCCAAGGCCTGGCTCCCTGGCTTCCTGTCAAAGCTTCATGACTTCCTATTCCCCCCCCCCCCGACTCTCTGGAGCTGGAGCTGGTGGTGGTGCAGGGCTCCCAGGAGAGGCCAGCAGTTGGAGAAGAATCAGCACCACAGGAAGTTGGCAGGCGAGGTGGGGCGGGCAGGAACTTTCACTCAGAGTACTACTCTGAGAGTAGAAAGGAAGCTGGGGCAGTGCAGGCCACGGGCCACAGAGGCAGCAAGAACCGGGCTGTGGGGGGCTGGCACCAAGGAGCCCAGGGCAGAGCGGGGAATCTGTGCTGCACGCACCCTTCTGTGGCTGCCAGGGAATATGCCGCCCGCCTGCCCACACCTGTCCTGGCTGGGAGGCAGGAGGAGAGAGGCTCAGCAAGTCCCCATGAGGAAGGGCAGGGTCCCACAGACAGTCTACGGGGGGCTCCAGGATCAGGCTGCAGATCGGGCGAAGGAGAGGACCCCCCAGCCCAGCAGCCCTGGCACATTCCAGAGGCACTCACCACCCCCTTCTGCAGCTCCTTGCTTCAGCTGGGGGGGGGGTGGGGGTCATGGTGGTGGGGGACGAAGGGCAAGCACTGCTTTGTCCTGCTGGAGCCTGGCACGCCCTTCCCGCTAGCCCCCACATGGGAAGACCAGGTGGGGCAGGGGCCAACCAGCCTACATGAGTTTATTTTTATTTCTATTTCAGCCCCCCCTACTTTTTAAAAGGCCCCCAAATTAAACAAATCCTGGCCACAAGCCTGACTTTAAGAATTAGATCACAGTATATCCACATTATATTGTGCCCTGTGGGGGACTCTAAATACTCTGTAGTTGGAAGAAGCCTTTTAGGCCATTTAGGAATGCGGGAAATACTCAGTAACAGAAGTATCCTTGAATACTACAAAGAATCCGACTCTAGGGGGCGGTGCCCATCTCTGTTTCCAATCCAAAGAGCCAGCTCTGTCCAAAGACTTCTCTGTGGCCATGTGGCTGGCATGACTATGAGGCGT